ATTCCCTGTCGGAGGCATCTTGGGTTCATAGCAAGGACTGTAGGGCACCCCACCTGGTAGTGAAATTCCACCGCAAACATCCCACAAAACCAGGGGAAAGGGGTCCTTCAACTCCTAACTAACTGTAATTCGTAGCTCCCCAGATGCTGTCTCCGTGATAGGGGGTCACATGTCAGTTCTGAGGCCTGGAGCTGCCATTCAGGGGAGAAGACTGGGCCAACTGCCAAGACTCACCGTCCCACCTACACAAACTGAAGAAATTCATGCTAACAATCCATGATTAATTGCCGGATGGTTTCGTTTTGGGTCACAAGACGACGGGTGTGCGCACGCACGGGGGGAGGCTTATCTTAATTATCAATGTAGCTATTAAAGGTGGTGGAAAGCACAGGGTGGCAGCTCTGACAATTTATTCATTGCCTTAGTGCTTTGTTGGTCAGTTCGTGCCAAAGGAAGAATACAAACTGCATTTCAAACCGTTTCTGTGTTTGGCTAGTTTCATTATCCCTTCGGAACCTGACACTAATTATGTGAAACATTTCCAGACAGGCTATGAAAGCATAAGCTATTTCCTGAACATTCCTCCTTCTCCCCAATTTTCTGATACTCAAAGATATACTAAATGGAGGCACTATTGAGCTAAGAATCTGATTCCTTTATGCAAAGTTAGTGTAAAAATGTGTTTATATTTGTGTCCAAAGCAGCCTTTCAAAGTTAGCTAGGCTTGTCAGGCAGTTTTTGCTTGTCAGGTAGTTGTTTGGGGTCCGTTGTAGAGACAGCAGGAGGATGAGGGATTTGGGATATGTTTACATGGATAGTGAGAATTCAGCCAGCCAACCTTCCCCTTGTGTGAGGGTTATGGAGGTCTAGATCTTTTCCTAAGGGCAGAATCCCAGGGCAGACCAAAGGAGACTCCTCTATCACAGTAAATCAAGAGTTAACACGTGCATTTTAAATAATTAAATTATTGAATCCTTTAATAGCAAAAGCATTGGAACAAGGAAACTGTATTTACTCCTCCGTCTCAAATTTCCTCAAATAGGTGGTAGTGGCATTTTAAAAGAGGCATGGCTGAGGAGAGGCAGGTACAGAATGTTCAATATTTTTGAGATAGGACTTTGTAATTGAAATTTGTTTAAAGTATAAATATTTGTGGTTGTACTTCTGGTGCCCTCAGGTTGGTATTGATTCCAAGCAGTTGGTGGACACAGCTGTGCAGTTTTCTGGGCAACATTTTGCCATTGCCTCCTTCCTAGAGTTGAAAGAACGTGACTGGCCCAAGAACTGTCTTTGTGCCTAAAGAGTGACTTCAACTCACAATTTCCCAGTTTGTAGCCTCAGCCCTTTAACCACTACACCAAAGCTGTATTGTATTGTAATATTTATAGAAGGTTAATTTATCTGCAAAATTAAGGCTAAAAGGATGTATGCTTTTCATATTTTGCTGACAGTAGCAATTTTATTCTCTCTCTTTTCCAGACATAGGAATGCTGAAAAAACAGAAGATTTAGATGATATATATGAAGCAGCCATAACAATGGAAAATAGAATTCCCTGTCATACTTTAGATTTAAAAGCTGGACAAATTAATGGAGTCTATGCAACAGCAGATGATGATCGGTTTACGCCCTTATGAAAATAAATGGATTCTGTTTCTCAGTCTCTTTCTGAGACTCTGACCTCCTTTTATCTGGTTCTTTTGCTGATTATCAATAACTAGATTATGTACTTTGCTTCTTTTTTGCCCTTGGGTGCATTTCTTTTGATAAGCGTGCTTATATAGTGATACACCTGATTTTCTCATCCAAGGCAGTGTTCTTCATGAAAACATGTAAATGTTTAATAAAACTTCCACTGTTAAATGTCCTTTGGATGTATCAGTAATGAAAGGTCATAAATGCTTTCTTATTATGATTTATTCATATCTTCACCTTTTCTGTTATTTTATAGCAAGAAACATGTGAACTGCTTTCTTCTAACATACAAGCCAACGTTTGCTACCATAGGATTCTATTTATCTCAATGAGCACCAAAGCAACAACAAAATATAATTATTAAAAACTGGTAAAAAAATAACAAATGGTAGGTTATGTTTACAATGTGCTCTTGGATATCTGTATGGTTGAACTAGTATAGATGTTATTACAATTCTCCCACTAGGATCTTTGTACAAAGTAACTGCAAAGTTTTATAGTGGTTCATAATTTAGGGTTTTGTCCTGCAGTGATGTAATAAATATGTTTATTTTGGCATATTTTATCAGGGGCACCAATTGGATGATATAAATGGAATAGCTGAAGTAGAATATAGAATAGATAGAGCATAGATAGAATAATAGAACATACATCAAAGTTGAACATTAAAAAGGGGGATGTAATATATTTTGGGTTTTTGAACAGTGAATTATAACACGATTAAGAATCTATAAGTTCAAAAATTGAGAAATGGTCAAACAAAGAAAATAGATAGGGAAGAGAGCAGAATCTGTTAAGAATTAGTAATAATTATTTTAATGCTGAGAATAGTGGGGAAAAACAACCCTCACCCCTTTCCACTATTCTGTTGTTTATTAGTCTGTTGATCAAATTGGATGTTTTCAGGGAGTTATGGCAACAGAGATTATTTATTTATTTAGGGAATTTATATTGCCGCCTATTTGCACATGATGAGTCAAGTCGGCTTACAAAATATAAAACCTCATATAAAAACAATAAAACTAATAAAAGAAGTCATATAATAAATTAATATACTAAAATCACCACCCTCCCTGGTGACAGCACCTCACCTGAGGCTTCATCCCTCTATGGGTTTCCCAGCTCCGCTGGCAGAACCAGGTCTTCAGTGTTTTCCAGAAGAGTGCTAGAGTAGGAGTCATTCTAATCTCTGTGCGGGGATGATGTTCCACAGAGAAGGGGCCACTACAGAGAAGACCCTTCTTCTGCGTCCCACCAATTACAAAGTGATGGCAAACCTTTTCAGCACCGAATGCCCAAACTGGAATGCATGCACTGGAGCGCCAAAAACCCAAAGACCAGCTGGCCGGTGCACATGCCCGCGCCAGCCACTTGGTCTTTGGGTTTCTGGCATACACAAAGACCAGCTGGCCAGTGCGCATGCACATGATGGAAACTAGAAAACCAGATGGCCACACACATATGCGCACCGGCCAGCTGTTCTTCAGGTTTTCAGCGCTCTAGCACACATGAAGATCATGCACACCAGAAACCAGAAGAGCAGCTTGCGACAGCGCATATGCCCACAGACAGGGCTCTGCATGCTACTTCTGGCACACATGCCATAGGTTCGCCATCACAGATCTAGATCATTAACATTTCTGAATTTAAAATCTGCAACATACGGTGAAAGTTATGTTAGCGAAGTCACTGAGTGATTTTTTCTCTCTTGGATTTAATTATTTATAAATAGGAATATTTTGTGTTTATGCTGGAATCAGGAAAAAAAATTCCAAAACTTTTCTCATAGCCTGAATGCAATCTGAATTTATCCTAATCCTTATATTTGCTCCTGGGTAGTAACATTGAAAGCCTTTCCCCATTTTCCAGTGATTTACATTTGCCAAAGGAGAATTTTGGCCTGATCAGTTTAAAGATGTCAGTTGAAGTGAGTTTCAACTCCAACCAGACATAAGTTGCAAACTTTGAAAAATCATGACACTCATTCTTGTAGAAGACCACTCTGTAGAAAATCTTGCCATCAAACATTGCTTGGAATTTGTGAAGGCAAATGAATGAATCAGGCAATACAGACCAAAAGACTATTAGCATTCTGTGTATTGCTTTTATCTTTAACGTAAATGCTAAATTGCTTGGCCCCAGGATAAACATTTATGATAATCTTATTTATTGTGATGGTACTAATTTCCAGTGCTACAACTGCAGCTATAAAGCAATATAATCTACTCAGAAATCAATACTTTTAATTTCAGTGGGAATTAGTGACAAAGAGCTGCCTTAATTCTCTACTCTAAACCAAACTGAATTCAATACTATACTAAGCTATGTGGTGGGCTTCTTTGTGGCTTAGTGCATTATACAAACCCAGCACTGTAGTTTATAAACCATGGTTTCTAGCTTGGGTAAAACTAAACAGCTGTGATTAATTCACAGGCTTTGTGTGTTGTACAAACAGATATAATTAATTCGTTAGTCTTTATCTATTTACTTTACCTAATAAGTAAGTTGATCTAATTTAGGGGTGTCAAACTTGTGTCGTCACTGCATCATCATGTGACGTATCGGAACTTCCCCCCCTTTGCTAAACTAGGTGGGGGTGAGGCCAGCGGGCCCGAGTTTTATACCCTGATCTAATTCCTCCCAGAAGCTACAGTTTATACACATGCACACACACACACACACACACACACACACACACACACACACAAACACACACATACACCGTTTATCCTGTAAGCATAGATAGTAAAAACAAATCACATTTAGAAATCCGACAGTACAGAGATGAAATGCCTTCCATTAAGGATGAGGGGAAGGGTGAGTTGGGTTCAGACAGCAACTTTTTCTGGGCAAAAACAACAATTATATATCTAAACTATAAGATACTAAGCCAAGGGTTTTTTGCAATCATAGTAATGATGCACAGACGGTGATTAGCTAGACCACTTACAGGTAGATAAGCTCAGCTCATTTTCCTCATAAAGGAAAGCAGAAAAGTGACCTCATAAAGGAAGACGGGGTATGGGTCTAAGGAGGTCCAAGGGACTATGTCCAGAAGTGGAATCATTAAAGAAAAAGATAGAAGAAGCTGAGAAAAAAAAAGTTGGAGGGAAGTCACAGGGCTGACTCTTCTAAGGTGAGGAATGCTAAAGTTCACATATTCATTTGATGCAGCTAACCGGAACTTTGGCATTAGGCCTTCTAGTGGTGTTATATTGTCTAAGTCTGTTTTTAAAACCTCCCAGTTCTCATCTCAGAAAATGTGATAGGTCAGATGATAACTAGCTCTATCATTGACAGGATGCTGGGGAAATATTAACTCTATGTAAAAGCCTTTCAAAAGAAAATCATAAAATGCTTACAGGTAATTATCTTTCTCCAGAAGTTAATCATTCACTTTTGCTTACTTGGCTTTAAAACACACACCCCCTTTAGATTTTGTCCCTTTGCTGGATTAAAACTATAAAATGCCCTGTGAATAGGTTTCTTCCTCTTTTTCTATAGCCAAGCACTGGATAAATACTAATGAAACAAGCACTGATCAGGAAGCCTTCTTCAAGGAGCTTTACCCATCCAGCATTTTTTGACCTAAAAGGAAATATGTTATCCTGGCTCTGCTTTACTTGGAGCCTTGTTGTTCTGGCTGGGGCCCAGGATGTGACCCAGCAGGCCGCAGAGTTTTTAAAGCAATTTGATGCCCGTGCAGATGATCTGTATTATGCTGCATCCATCGCTTCATGGAATTATAATACCAACCTGACAGAAGAAAATGCCAAAATAATGGTGGGTACTGATGACGACTATTTGCTGTTTATTTAATAAATAAATGGGATTGTAAAAGAGGATATTAAAATTATCTGGAATGGTGACTGAAATAAAAAGCTAAGGATCAATAAGGAATAAATTAAAATGGTATATGCTAAACTTAACAGCATCATAAAACCTACCTGAGGTTTACCTGAATTACAATTGAAGGCTAATTCCAATAAATGTGGAAAAACAGTGTTTTGCTAAAAATGAATAACTAAGGCATTGATTACTTCAGATAGAACTGCATGATTATCTAGACCAGATTTTGTAAAACAGATGGAAGGATTTCAATTATAAAGCACTGTTATGCCTTTGTCTGACCCCTCATGGCTGAAATCAGAGACAATCTAGAAATGTTAGTTGTGACATTTCTCCTAAAATATTTAAGAATCATGCTGTACTAATTTTATTTTAGTCTACTGTTTTCAGTAAAATTTACACAGCAATATGATGTGATCCTCTTTCTACCTCACACAATTAATTCATGTGAATATTCAAATATCCTAACTTGTCTTAACATATTTTAGCAAAAGCAAAATCGGTGACCCAACTGAAGAAAAACAGATGCTTCTCCCACACTGACTGTTGTGTATCCCAACAGCTTTAGTCACCACACTATAAAAAAGATGTTGAGACTCTAGAAAAAGTGCAGAGAAGTGGAACCAGGATGATTAGGGGACTGGAGACTAAAACATATGAAAAACAGTTACAGGAACTGGGCATGGCTAGTCTAGTGGAGAAAAGGACCAGGGGAGATATGATAGCAGTGTTCCAATATTTGAGGGACTGTCACAGAGAGGAAGGGGTCAAGCTATTTTCCAAGGCACCTGAAGGCCAGAGAAGGAATGGATGGAAACTGATCAAGGAGAAATTCAACCTAGAAATAAGGAGAAATTTTCAACCAATGGAACAGCTTACCTTCGGACGTCGTGGGTCCTTCATCACTGAAGGCTTTCAAGAAGATACTGGACTGCCATTTGTGAGAAATGGTGTAGGGCAGGGGTGTCAAACTCGTGTCATCACAGCAGTGTCACTTGATATATCAAGTGAAGGGGACTTTTTCCCCCTTCACTGAATCAAGTGGGGCAGGGCCAGCACATGATGCATCCGGCCAATGGGCCACAAGTTTGACACCCCTGGTGTAGGGTTTCCTGCTTGGATGGTGGGTTGGACTAGATGACCTACAAGGTCCCTTCCAACTCTGTTAATCTAATCTAAAAATCTAATGTGTGATGGGAGGGAGATTTTCTTTTGTGCTGTTGGGATATACAGCAACCAGAGTGGGAGAAGCATTTGTTTTTCTTCAGTTAGGGTCACTGTTTTTGCTTTTGCTAAAATATTTTAAGAAAATATTAGTTAGGATATTTGAATATTTACATGAATATTCACATAAATTAATTATGCCAGGTAGAAAGAGGGTCACATCATGGAAGAAGGAAGGAATCCACTGGAACTACAGCTATTCTATCTAAACCCATAATTGATTCTATTTATTTATAAGTTCATATTCCTGTTTTATTGATATTAACAATCCCAATAGCTTTCTATAGGTGTAACAAGCTTAAAGATATTCCATTTTGCCCTATTCTGATTCCCTCCTACTGATAGCATTTTATTGCTGTGCTCTGCCAGTACTTTTTGAGGGCAGTATACAGATCAAGTGGGAGACGGAAGTCGAAACACCTCTCAGGTTACAGTCCAGTTCAGGTGTATCAAATGAAGGAACAAAAGTAGGCAATGCTTCTTAATGTTATAAAAAAATTTCTAACGACTAGCTAAAAGAAAAAAAATCTGTTCATACCTCAGAAATACTCATCCAATGAGGAAATATGAGTTTTGCTAACTTGTGCCTTAAATTTTGTATCTTGAGAATTTTGTATCTTGAGAATTTCCATCATAAAATTTAAATTTGAGTAAGCAGATTTCCAGCCTATTTTAGCTATTTTGTTTTATTTTTATTGGAATTATGAGGCTTAACTAGGTGACATGTGTTACATCTCATATGTTGCCCCACTTCTTGACACTTGGTCATAGACTGAATATGGTTTTTGTTGGAGGGGTGGGGAGAAGAAGAATGTACATCTTGTACATTTTCAAAAAACAAGCAACTTCCTTCCCTTAGTACCAGCAGATTTATGCAAATGTTTTTAAATTGTAAATCTAGACATACAACTGGCAGGGCAGAAATCTACTCTGCAAACCTGGCCATGAAACAGATTTGAATCAACTTTCAAATCCTGAATGTGTTGCATGTAATTAAAAAGAGACAGGAAAGGGGGGGGGGAGTTCTGAATCCTCAGTTCAGTTCTCAATGAGCCTGATAGAAAAACTCAAAATTCTAATAATTTTTTTTCAGCATGAGAAAGACAACATATTCTCCAAGTTTTATGAAGAAGCCTCCAAGAATGCTAGCATGTACAATGTGAATCAGATTACTAATGAAACCATCAGGCTTCAGCTTCATTTGCTCCAGAATGTACCAACAAATTCATCTACAAAAGACCAAGTATGTTGCCAAATGTCACAGACCACTTCTATGCTAAATTAAACTCAGGTGTTATGTACCAAATGATTTCTGTTCTTCCTTCATTCCCGTGAAGCATATATAGTAGTATAAATGATAGCAGCAGCAGAATCACCCCAAATTAATCCATGCAGGATGAAAGCTTCTTCTTGAATGTTATGGACTATAATCTACCACACTGTGGAGTGCGGGTTGGTAGATAGATGTTCGCCCTTATCTTGTATCTGTCTTTGCTGCCCCTGCTGAGTTTTGAATAAAGGAAGTACTGTTTTATGCTTCTTTCAAACAAAGCTTCTTCTCATTTAAATTACAGCTGGATACTGTTTTACGTAAAATGAGTACCATGTACAGCACTGGGACTGTGTGCAAGCAAGATGATCCTTTTAATTGTTTGCCCTTAGAACCAGGTAAGATATATAAACAAGTACCGGTATCTTTTATCAGGTTATCTGAGGGACCGTCTCTCTCTGATTACATCAGCCTACCTCATCAGGTCTGTCAAACCATGGGGTTATATCTGGTGGGTCCCAGGAGATGAGCCTACTCTGCCGTGGTGTCTGCCATGTGGAATCTTCTCCTGGAAGTGAAATTAGCTGCGTCCCTCTTAACATTCCACATATACCTCAAGGCACTGTAGTCTGGTCCATGGATCTCTGGGACTAGGGAGATTTTGTAATCTCCCTAGTCCCACAGATCCCTGATTCCGATTTTGCAATGGCTCCCTTACTGTAGTTAATATCATTCTCTCCTGTTTCTTGTGCCTTCTTTATAGTTAAATTTTAATTGTGACTTTTTATGTATTTATATTACTTTATTGATAAATAAACAAAGTAACTTTCATATCAGATGAAAAGCTGCACACATAATAGTAAATAAATAAATATTCCACAATCTTCAGCTTGTACATTAATTGTTAAATTGAATTTAACACTAAATTTGTTTGGATATTTTTCTTTATTATAGCCCCTGTTTCCTAATGGCACTATTGGCATTATGTTTCATGTTAAACTAAAATAATCCAATTGGATTTGTGTGTGTGTGAGCGCACAGACACACATATGTATACATATACAGTTACATACCCATTGTATTAATCTCATTTAGATAAGCAGCATTTTTCAAAGTGTGCAGCAAGAAAAACAAATTAAATGTAGAAATTTTATGAGAAGATATAAAAATAAAGGGAATCTAAAAGGCCTTTCCCTCAATTTATTTATTTGATTAGAATTCATGCATACAGGAATAGATTATCAACTGTATCTTATATATTCAGTCGGGTCAAATGCAGGGAAAGGAACTGTGCATTTCATCAATGATCTATCTGAACACAGCATTGTACATGTTACAAGCATAAAAACATCATTTGAGGCTCTTTTTTCTGAAGTATTTGAACAATTGGGATTTCACCGCTAATAGTAATATGGCAATCCACATTTTAAGTCATGCTCAGGATGATTGTTAGGAAGGCTGAAAAATGTTCATACTAGAATTAGAAAAAGAGGATGGGGTATGATTGTAGGACAAAGAGGAACTTCTAAATCAGTGGCTCCAACCGGGTGACAAGTGGCCAAACTGCCAGAGATCCTTGCTTTTCAGTTGCCAGTAGTAACTGTCAGATTTGTATGAAATAAGACAATATCCATTTATAATATGCTGGTGAACAAATATGCAGACCTAGTAAGAGTCACTGGGACCTGGTTAGACTAATTTCAGGTCTGTCCTTTCAGATTTCAGAGACAGGATCAGGTGTTAGTATCAAAGTTTAGGAAGTGGGTAACTGGTAATTCTTGGGATTCTAGCAATTGTGAGAAGCACTGCTCCAAGAGAGGGGGGAGTTGGGGGGTGTTGTGGCCCAACAGAGGCAGGCTGAGCCAACAGCTCAGCCAACCGTTGTTGGGCCACAACACCCCCCAACTGCTGTTGGTGGAATATGAAAGTGATGAACATTATGGGACTGCCCTGGAGGCTAAAGAATACTCTGGGGGGTGTTTGGAGTCACAGCAGGGTCTAGAGAGGCCTGTTGGCCATCAGATGGCATCTGAGTCAGGGAGCAGTGAGGAAGAGCAGAGGGAGGCTGTCCCTGACGTGTGTATGCGTAGGGCTGTGAGGAGAAGGAAGCAGCTTTGGAAAAAAGAGTCACAGAAGGAAATAGGAACAAGTGGCTACTGATTGGCCCCTCCCGGAGAGCTTGGGGCCAATCAGAATTTTGCAGGAAACAACAATTTACTGATCCAGTAAATTTACTGAGCCGTAGAGAAAGATTGGGAGAATTTCATGAGTTCAAGCCTTGTTTCATAGAGATAGCTTTCTGGGCTCCCAGCCAAGGGGTTGCTTATCTCCTCCTTAGTTGTGGCAGACAGCCAAGTCTGCGTATATTGTAGAGACTTGGGACAGAACGGGTGTGTGTGTGTGTTGAGAGAACTGGACTGTATAAATAAATTCAGGTTGTTCCTTCT